CTGGTTGAATGACAGGGCACACTGTGCCTCTCAACTGGCAGTTTTAAAAAAGCCAAACACTGTAGCTGTGTACGGGACTTTGCAACTAAATCTGACCAGAAAATGCAAAGGAAGGCAGAAGGGTGTTTTTTCTTTTTGTGGTCAAAGCTGTTGATATTAAAAAAAAAAAAAAAAAAAAGAAAAGAAACCTACCATTCTGATCATCATTGTGACCAATGTATAGCATTTACCAATACAGAAAGGTGAAGGCAAAATAGCCCATGGTTTCGTCACTCCAGTGAACATTTTATTTTAGAGTTGTTCTTTAAAGCCTTTAAAAAATTAGGTTATATGAGGTAGGAAAAACAGACTTGATGGTTTCACAGACTGGCTGCCTGACCTAAGGCAAATTTTTTTTTAAATTATATATTTGTTTATTTCAATTCAAATTTTCACAGATTGAAAGACTGCATGTTGTTAAAGTCAACTTTTGTAGGCAGTTCACAGCAAAGATTTCTCATGAAAAAAAAATGACAGTAATCACTCAGATTGCAGACAAAAATGAGGGACACTTCACGAATTTGCATGTCATCTTTGTGCAGGTGCCCTGCTTCCCTATATAGTTCCAATTTTAGGATATATACTGTCAAAGCACACACCTGGGGCAAATAGTTAATTTCTTTTGACTTCAGTTCCCTCATCTGTAACATGGGTGGATAAACACTATATTTAAGGCCAGTCAAGCGGTGAGAAAACTGAATGACAGGGCCTCCCAGGTGGCGCAGCGGTTGAGCGCTGGGTTGCGAAGCTGCCCGCAGCCTCTGTGGCGCTGGTTCGATCCCCGGCTGCTCCCCGGCCACCGGGGGAGGGTCCCACATGGCGCGCAGACCTCTCCTCCTGCCCGCTGCTCCCCTCAGCAGTGTACTTCGGTCCTTCTGCCTGCTCTGCTCCCCGCTCTGACTCTGGTGAATTCTCTCACCTTCCCGCGCTTCTGACTGTACCCAGTGCATGTATAAACAAAACAAACAAACAAACAAAATGGATAAATAAATAAAAAAACATGCCTCTATTAAAAAAAAAAAAAATGAATGACAACACTAGAATACCTGGCACGTAGTAGGTACTCAGTGCATGGCACACTCACCTGCCTAAGAGTATGGTTTGTGCAGTTATATATCCTGTATTTTTAACTTATCACAAGCATTGTCTTGGAGTCCTTAAGCTCTTTACATTCCATCTTTAGAATGTACTATAATTTATTTAAGAATTCTCTGATAAGATGTTTAGGTTGCCTCCATAGTGAAGTTTTTTTCATGAACAATTATAATAGTAATAATTTCCATAATTAAGAACACCCTAAATAGCTTCTCATTAGGAACTGAAATAAATTAGGTTTTTGAGCTGTAGTTTCTTGAAGGCTTAGGTTGTTGCAGAGAATGAGTGCCTTGAGAGGCTGCTGGCTGTGCATAATTGCTGTGGTCAAGCAAACACCCACTGGGCATTTCTAGGCTTTTCCTTAAATGTGCCCCGAGCCCCCAGAGCAGAAGGTTCTCTCTTTTGTCCTCTGGTGTTTCAGACCCTCTAGGATTTTAAGACACTCTAGGATATTCAGACCCCCTGGAAATCTCTCTTGGATTTGAAGAGCTGTAGACTCAGATCTGGGTCAGCGTAAGCTCTGCCCTCAGGGGGTTCCTGTTCTAGTGGGGAGACAGGCACTGAAACCAATAAATGCAGTCATGTTCAGAGAGTGGAATATGTGATGAAGCCACACTTGAGAGTGGAGTCGGCACTTTCTGGTGTGGGTCAGAGGACTCGGGAGAGGGAGTGCTGCGACTGAGTCTGGAAAAATGGTCAGGTTTGCTTAGGACCTTTTGTGTAGAGGGGACTGGAGCCTGGACACCTGCACAGGTGGGATGGATGGCTAGGAGGTGAGAAATAGAGCTAGAATTTGATGTGACTGGACATAACTACTGAAGGCAGAGTCCCTCCTTTGAGTGGGACATGGTGGTCTTGGAGGGCCATGACTTCCTCATCTCTGGGTCTCCAGCACCCCAGTGGGGCCTAATAGGCCCATCGTTTATGGGGGCTAAAGATTTTCATGAAAAGCTTTAGTTGAATTTTTTTTTTTTTTTTTTCAAGATTTATTTATTTATTTATACAAGCACTGGGTACAGTCAGAAGTGCGGGAGGGTGAGAGAATTCACCAGAGCCAGAGCGGGGAGCAGAGCAGGCAGAAGGACCAAAGCACACTGCTGAGGGGAGTAGCGGGCGGCAGGAGAGGTCTGCGCACCATGTGGGACCCTTGCCGGCAGTCGAGGATCAAACCGGTGCTGCAGAGGCTGCGGGCAGCTTTGCAGCCCAGCGCTCAACCGCTGTGCTGAGGCCCTAGTTGAATTTCTTTTTATATTTTTTAAGATTTATTTATTTATGCATACAAGAACTGGGGTGTAGGCCAGAGGTACAGGGTGGGGGCGCCAGTGAAAGGATTCATGAGAGACAGAGTGGGGAGCAGAATGGGCAGATCTACTGAAATACACTGCTGATGGGCGCAGTGGGCAAGAATGGAGAGGTCTGTTGCACCATGTGGGTAAGCTCCCTGGTAGGCCAGGGATTGAACTTTTGCTGCAGTGCCTGGCGATAGCTTGATAGCCTTGTGTCTTTAACCCCTGCGCCACCACGGAGGCCCCTAGCTGAATTTCTTGACTCTATGTCTGAGGTTGTTTGGCAGAATTCTGTGAGTTGGTTCATCTGGGGCTGTGTGGACTTGCTGGAATATCCCCATGTGCTGATATATGGGAGACTTGGCTGCCTGAGAGATGAGTGATGCCTGCCAGGAGGGGCCAGAAGGGAAGTCCCAGTTCAAAAGTAGTTGGCTCTGAAACCAGTCCTGTGATTTGTACCTGGATGTAGTTACAGAGACTTCTAATTGCAGGCTCTGAGCTAAGCCAACCAGCCTTCCCAAGGGCATCTTCGGTCTAATCCTCCGGGGTGGGATATGTGCTTTTGTTGCAGCAGTTGACGCTCTTCAGCGGGAGCAGTGGCAGGTGTTCAGAGTTATTGCAGGCCTGACTCATCCCCTAAGTTCTTATGCTGTGTAGTTCAGTGCTGCCCTGGGCCACCATGCCTCACCATACTTGGGTGGGTAGGTGTGGGGTTGAGGGGGCAGGGAGAGGAAGGGCAGCCAAGATTTGCTCATTATCTGCTGTGTGCCTGGTGCCATGCTGGGTGCTTTAGACATGCCTGTCCGTCTTAAAACCATGAAAAGCACTTAGGATAGAAGTGGTATCTCCATTTCTAAATGAAAAGAAGATGGTCAGAGAGGACACCTTCATCAGGATGATACAGTGAATAAGAGTCGAGTAAGTAAGCAGCATGTTGGCACCTGAGCCCTTGTCTTTTCCTTTTCTGTGCTACTCCAGATCTCCCTTTCTTTTGGGGTAGATGGCCTCGGCCTTCTCATTAAAATCTTGATGGTGTAGTACACTCTAAGGTACAACAGCAAAAGTCCAGGGCCCCAGCTTTATTAGTAGCTATTTAAATAAGTTGATGTGACTGCCTAGGCCTTGGTTTCCTCATCTGCAAAATTGGAATAAAATTTGATGTGTTTACTTCAGTGGGTGGTGGGAATCAGAGCAGATGGTCTGATGAGGAGCCCTGTTAGCACTAGGACTCTTCATGGACATGCCATGACACTGGAAGGTGCCCGGGGCTGGCAGTTCTCTCTGCCTTCCTCCTTCCTCCTCTCTAAGCAGGGACCTGTAAATGGAGCCCAAAGTAGAGTTCAGATTGAGCCTTCCTTTCTAAGAAAACGAGTGTTCAGAGCTGGATTGATTTGTGTTTTCTATGTGCCCCTTGGCAGTAAAACTATGTCCTCCAATAAGACCTTGAACCTTGGCTTCCTGTCTATAAAGTGGGAGAAATGCTATTTAGCCTGTCTGTTAGGCTTCAACGAGACATGTACATTTGGTGTTTATCGCTAAGTGTTGGTTCCCCATTCATCTGGCACTGTAGAACTGGTGCCCCGAGGATGCCATGATACAGCCTCTTTTCCCTTTTACAGCTGCAGGTGCATCATCCACTTTCATTCAGCTATGTTTGAACTAATATCTGCGTCACAATACATGACAAGGTCTGTGTTGAGTTGGTCACACCTCTGTGGGCAAGACCCTCTTACTGGGTTGCTACTATCTGGGGAGTGGGTCAGGACATGGGACTCGCCATATCCATGGCGAGTGGTCATTAGAGTGTTGGCTGGTGCTGTGAAGAAATTCATTGCTAGGTGGCTGGGTGAAGTATCCCTGAATGACAGATTGGGCCTGAAGGATGAGTAGTTTACGACAGAAGAGGATGAACTAGAGTGACTGGGAGAAGAGTGTGGACATGAGGATGAGCTCTCTGTGACCTTAGTCAGCAAGCCCAGGCCCAGGGATTAGGGTGGAGGGAGGGCTTTGGCATCTCTGGGATTTTAATGTCTACGGTGTCCTTTGTGGTCAATGCCTCCAGGGGCAGCCAGACCTATGCTTTGAGTCCCTATTCTACCATTGGGTTCCTGGTCTTTTCTGAAACATGCCTCCCCACAAACCCCCCAGTGTGTAGCATATTGGGTATTAATACGAGTCTCACAGACAGCCTGCTTTGGAAACCTTAGAATCCTCACAGAGATACAGGGGTCATCATGGCCTCATCCCCAAAGGATTTGGGGTGACTCATACATACAGTATAAAAGAATTTGCTAAGTCATTGGTCACTGGGGATGACAGGTAAAAAGGAAGAAGCGGGGCTGGTAATTAGCACTCAAAATTCACTATATTTTCTAGAATATTTGTAAGGGGGTAGGCTGTCTGATTTACTGAATGCTTCATGGCTGCCTGAGCAGAGAGACAGAATCAGGTACTTGATTCATGATGCCCTCAAAGTATTAGGTGAAAAAGTGGAAAAGCTTGATTTTTTCCCCCCTGCACTGAGACTGCCCCTGGTGGACTGCTGTGTGGTTGATAACTGCTTATCTGTCCTCTTTACAGGTCTGCTAGATGCACTGGGCAATGAACCTGAGACTCCAGGCCAGAGTGGTCTGAGGCGTTTGGGGAAGTAGAAGTTTGGAGAAGATGGCCATGGCCCCAAGTCCTTCCCTGCAACAAGTATACAGCAGCCCCGTGGCAGTGGCTGTGTGGGAATGGCAGGATGGACTGGGTACCTGGCACCCCTACAGTGCCACTGTCTGCAGCTATATCGAGCAGCAATTTGTCCAGCAGAAGGGCCAGCGCTTTGGGCTAGGAAGCCTGGCCCATAGCATCCCTTTAGGACAGGCTGACCCATCCCTGGCCCCTTACATCATTGACCTTCCCAGCTGGACTCAGTTCCGCCAGGACACTGGTAAGATGCTGCCTGCTTCCAGTATGTATCATGTTGGGGTTATAGAATAGAACTCCATCCCACCCCTAACGCACGCACACACACACACACACACACACACACACACATGATCAGGCCACAGGCCATGGGTGCTGTAAATGATAATAAGTACCACACAGTGTGAAGTAGACCTCTTTGTATAGAAAGTCCCATGAGACCACAGCACAAAGGCCTTCCCTGCCCCTTCCCCCTGGTCTCCCAAACCAAAAAATGCCTGCCTCCACCTGCAGAGTTTTAAGAGTTCCTCTGGCAGGTAAGCTTTCATGCAGGTGGTATGTCCTGCTAGTTAAGAGGCCCTGTGATAAGTTCTGGCTCCACTGCAGTGGCTCTGTGACAGAGGCAAGTTTTACTTTCTTCATTGCACTCACATTTGGATTTTTGAGAATGGGGCTACCAGCTTCCTCCCAGAGCAGTGCCTTGCCCCTCTAACCCAGAATTTTCAACTGGGAAGATTTTTTTTCCCCCAGAACATTTGGCTGTCTTTGGAGACATTTTTTTTTTTTAGATTTATTTATTTATGCAAATGAGAGCTGGCGTACAGGCCAGAGGTGCGGGAGGTGAGAGGATTCACCAGAGACAGAGTGGGGAACAGAACAGACAGATCTATTGAAATACACTGCTGAGGGGAGCAGCAGGCTAGACAGGTGAGGTCTGCTGTACCATGTGGGTCACTTCCCTGGCCAGTGTTCAAACTCAGGCTGTATTAGTTGCAGATAGCTTCATAGCGCTGATGCTTAACCCCTTGCGCCACCAGGGAGGCCCCTGGAGACATTTTTGATCATGACTTGGCGAAGGAAGATTGCTTTTGGCATCTAGTGGCTGTGGCCAGGGATGCTGCTAAACAATCTTACAGTGCACAGGGCTAGCCCCACAGCAAAGGATTACTGGTCCAGAATGTCACACTGCTCTAATCCCTGTGAGCAGAATCCTTGGATGTGTGAAGACTAAAGCTCCCAGTCATTTGCTTACAGATAAAGGTCCCTGCCTTCATGATCTTTGTAGACAATTAAGAAAGCTGCAGTAGACAAGATAAATGCCTTGAAATTGTGTGTGATTAGATGTCGATAAGTGCTCAACTCAGGGTGTGGAAGTGTAAAATGTGGGGAGGGGTCAATTTGAAGTTTGAGTTCAGGTGACCAGTTCACCAAGAAGGACTGGCGACAGACCACAGAGGGGGCAGGAGGGAGGGCAGGTTGAGCAGGAAGGATTTGGTCGGAATCTGATTTAGGGATTAAAAGTCACCCTCTGGCTTCTGTGGATGGAGGCAAGAGCTGAGACCTTGATCCCGGGTAGAAGGTAGTTGCAGTGATTATCTCCCGGCAAGTGCTTTTGGAAGCCTGGTGCAAATCGATTTTTCTTTTTCTCCTTAATCTTCAGGTTTGGTTTATTAAGAATATAAGCTAACAACAGGGTGATTGCCAGTAGTTGCTACTTGAGAAGTCAGAGTGAATGGTATATTCATATGAGAGAATTAAGTAACAATTAATAATGCATTTTATGAAATTTAGAGACAAGAAGTCCTTATGACATGATGCATGAAAGTAGCAGGAACCTTTTTCAGTCGTATTGTCAGAGACCTAAAAGCACAGACTGGAAGACTGGGGGGAGACTGTATTGCAGTACCAATGTCGTGCTTTCCTCTTGGTGGTTGCATTATGGGTGGTTTCATTTCTTTTTATTTTCTTGTTTTCATTTTTTTTTTTAAGATTGATTTATTTATGCATACGAGAGCTGGGGTACAGGCCAGAGGTGTGGGGGGTGAGAGGATTCACCAGAGACAGAGTGGGAAACAGACCAGGCAGATTGACTGAAATACGCTGCTGAGGGGAGCAGCGGGTGAGACAGGAGAGGTCTGCTGTGCCATGTGGGTAGCTCCCTGGCTGGGGATGGAACTCGTGTTGCCGTGGCTGCGGACAGCGTCACAAATTGTGTCCTAACCCCTTGCGCCACCAGGGAGGCCCTGTTTTCATTGTTTTTAAGTGAGTCTAACATTGGTTTATCATTAGTAATATTTTGAAAAGCCTGATCCAGTTTGAAACTCAGCTATTCTTTGTACTGTATTTCTGCTGAGGAGCACTGATCCCCTTTTGTTACTTGGCCCCTTTGGGCTGAAGTTTCTTCACCTAGAGAGAGAGCTCTCCCTTTCACCTGCAGCTTGGAAAGAACAACCAAAGCCAATGTTTAAGTCAGATAGCCGCGTAACCCTAAATCCACTGTGATCATATTGGTTTATTTTGGTTGTGCAAAAAGGAATTTTAAAATTGGGGAGACTGGCAGAGTAACCATTTATGTGTGACATTCCTTTGAAAATAGGTACCATGCGGGCTGTACGGAGGCATCTGTTCCCCCAGCATTCAGCTCCGGGCCGGGGCATCACCTGGGAGTGGCTGAGTGATGACGGCTCCTGGACTGCCTATGAAGCCAGCATCTGTGACTATCTGGAGCAGCAGGTGGCCCGGGGTAACCAGCTCGTGGACTTGGCTCCCCTTGGGTACAACTATACTGTCAACTACGCCACCCACACGCAGACCAACAAGACTTCCAGTTTCTGCCGTAGAGTGCGGCGCCAGGCAGGGCCCCCTTATCCGGTGACCACCGTCATTGCTCCGCCGGGCCACACGGGAGTCGCCTGCTCTTGCCACCAGTGCCTCAGCGGCAGCGGAACTGGCCCTGTGTCAGGTCGCTACCGCCACTCCATGACCAACCTCCCTGCATACCCTGTCCCTCAGCCCCCCCACAGGACTGCCATTGTCTTTGGGGCCCACCAGGCCTTTGCCCCGTACAACAAGCCCTCACTTTCTGGGGCAAGGTCTGCTCCCAGGCTGAACACCACCAACCCCTGGGGTGGGGCACCGCCCTCCTTGGGGAACCAGCCCCTCTACCACTCCAGCCTCTCTCACCTGGGACTGCAGCACCTACCCCCAGGATCGTCCACTGCCAGTGGAGCCAGGTATCTTGTGTGTGATTGAGGGTGGTTTTGTCGGCAGCCCTGGGTTTCTCCTTTTATGTAGCTGGAAGCCTCACCATATACCTGCAGGCCTGGTGCCTGCCCCTTGGTTATTCTGCTGAATTGTCTCCGTTGCTTGTACCAGGCAGTGATGAGGCATCAGACCATCCACAGCCTTATGTCCCTACGAGACTTGATACTTGAGTGCCAACAGTTGCCACATGGGTTAAAACCAGTGATCTTTTTATTACTTATGTGACAAAGTTACAGACCTTTGGCGGTGCCTGTGTGCCATATAGCTAATACCATGTACCTGGCGACATTTGACAGACTGCTATGTACTATGCACTGAAGACAGACATGGAAAATTCAGTCCTACTGAGCCCATGGTCTTGTCCAGGGGAAGGATGTGAGCCCAGTTTTGATGCTTAGAAGTTCATTGGGGACAGCCTAGAATGCTGAGTGTGGTGGGTGGCACAGTCTAGTCCAGTGTCTCAGAGCTCTCTGCGCCTCAAGAAAGATGATGAAATAGGCCTTGTCCAGAGTGGGTAACACACGAAAATGAGAAAGTGAGACTGGAGTGGCAGCAGGGACCCTGAGTTGCTTGGAGACCTGCCACTGACATGTAGAATGTTGCGGCTTGCATAACATTTTGGAAATTCAGTGTAGGCTGGCCTGGGGGCTGCTTGTGGGTAAGGGATACCTGGGCAGGTAGTGACTGGACAGGTAGGCCTATGGTTGCCCTGTTCCCTAGGGGTCAACATCTTGTTGGTTTGGGCTGAGGTTGGTCAGTCAGCATCTTAGTGCCACCTTACTCACTAGCACCATCCCTCCCTGCCCACTTGACCATGTTAAGGGATGAAGCTTCCCAAGGTGACTGAGACCTCCTTGGTTGCTTCTTAGGCCTCTAGTTATTTTTTCCAAGCTAGGTTTCAAAGGACCTGTCAGCTTCTAGACGACCCAGTAGCAGAATTGACATCCATTGAGCACACATTACAGCTAGCCCTTGTTGAGCAGGCTGCCTGAGTGAGTTCATTAAGTCTCATAACAGCCATGTGGTAGGTAGTTTCCTCAACTTACAGGTAGACTCACTGAGGCTGATGAGGTTGACAACACAGTCAAGTGGCAGATCTGGGATTCAACCCAGAATGCATGGGAGTTCCTGAAGCTCTCTTGAAGGCAAGTGAGAAAAAGGAAGGGGGTGTTCTGAGGGAGGAGTATGTAGACAGGAGGGTGAAGGACTCTAGATTAATCATAGCCTCTTCTGGGAGTTGGGGCAGGTAATCTGAGATCCTTCTGGGAATTGGGAGTATATGGAAGTTCCCCGCGGGCCCTCTGTAGACTCTCAGATGGACATAAGTGAGCAGCCCCCTCCGATCAGTGGACCAGTCTCCTAGAGAAAAATATGCTGTCTTTCACCCAGAATGGTTATCAACAGGGCTGGAGCTTCTGTTCAGTCTGTATCACATAGCCTCGTGGCCTTAAGTTCTTGCAAAGGATCTTGAGACAAATTTTCAGGCAGTTCTAGAACTGAGATTCTAGGATGGAGCCAGATGACTTAATGGACTTTGTTTCTTCTAATACATGGCTCCCATTAGTCTCCTGGATATTCCTCTGGGGTCTCCCCTTCCCAACCTGTGGGCCCAAGAGACTGCTGATGTGGGCCTTAGGGCACAGGCCAGGCAAGTTGCAGAGAGGAAGGAGGCTGGGCCGGCCATTCCTACCTTTGCTGCTGGCCTATGCATGTTGCTGCTTGCCCTGCATTATGAGCTAGGAGGGAACCAGGCCAGCCGGCTCTGTTAGTTGAAATAGCCTCAAAGGGGCCTGCCTCCTGAAGTGGGTGTTCATCTTGCTCTCCTCCAGCGTTTCAGGAGCTGGGAGGGGTATAATTCACTTGCATGGGCCTATCCCGACTTTGAAAAACAGGGTTTTCCATTTCTCATTTGTAGTGGGCCTGCTCCACTTAGCTTTTCTGTGATGGGTGTTGTAGAGCCAGGGATGGCTTAATAAATCCCTGACCTCTTAACCAGCAGGGCTGGGAGAATTGAGGACACTCTGCTTCTTGGTCTCCCTACGGGCTGTGGTTTCTTTCTGCAGCCAAATGAAAGTCAGCAACACTAGGTGAAAGTTACCATTGTATGGAGGAGTTGTGGGCTGGCAGGGCCAGGGGCTGGGGAAGCCTGGGAACCTTGTGCTTTTGTGTTACTGGTAGCCACTAGAAATAACATGAGCCAGTAAAATAAAAATTTGTGGGACCCACGTGGGGTTGTTATGGGGAACCCATGTGGTTTCACATCATTTCTTGCTCAATCTGGGTAAAACCTGGGTGACTGATTTCCTTGTGCCTGGGAGACTTTCTGAGCAGGCAGTAATATGTAGAGAAGGTGCAGCATTTGTCACTGAGCTGCTGGGTTTAAGTAAATTTCTGGTAGCTGAAGTTTATCCCTTTAAGCACCAAAACTTGCGTTTAATGGTGTTGGATGGAAAACTTTCCAAAATGTGTCATGTGTATTCTCGTCATCTTTAATAGAGGGGTGTGCCAACTCGGTTAGCATTTTGTCGACTGGGGGTGGTAATTATGATCAGCAGTCTGTTGCAGCTCCATGTGGCTCTGCCTCGGGGCACTTCACCCCTAACTGACAAGCCTAGAAAATGACTGTCCCCGTTTGCTCTCCTGGGCCCTGTTCTTGCTGCTCTATTCTCCCTGCCTTTAAAAGCACCTGACTTTCCTCGGCAGCATGCATGGTGGGAGCCCTGGGTTCCAGTGGGCTTTCTTCCTAACTGCTATAGTCCATTGGGTCAGCTCTTCATCCTTTTCCATCTTTCTTTTCTCTTAAGATTTGGGAGTTGGGCTGGTCAGTTTGCCGTGGTTTGCAGGATTTTGTAAGGGCCTGGTGGGACATTGTCTGGCGGCCCTTCAGACTTTCCTCCACTCCATTCTGCTCTGGAGACCTGAGAAGCAGTGGGCATTTGTACTGGGCTTCACATTGAACTTTACGACCACTCTTGGGAGGGCTTTTGCGATTATTCTCATTTTACAGATAGAAAAATGGAAACTTAGAAAGGGGGCTTGACCATGCCCAAGAACACTAAGAAGTGGGGTCTCTAGATTCTACATCTTTACACTCCTTGTACTGCACAAGCTCTCAGAGACTCCCAGGTCATGCTGGCTGCCCATCCTGAATGCTGAGATTACGGGGAGGTTTGGGGGAGAGGAGGTAGGTTTTGCACTTCTTTGCTTTCCAGCCTCCTGTCTCTGCCTTTTACCTAGGACTGTCAAATCCCATCTGAAGAGAGGACCAGGAGTCCTCATGGTGCATCATTTAGTTCCAGTTGGAAGCTCCAGGAGATGGTCCCAGATAGGACAGCCAAGTAGAGTCTAGTAGGTAGACCCAGGAACAAGGGAAGCAGGAGGCGTACCCAAGGTAATGAATGACTATAGGGAATTCTCAAGGAACGGCACTTCTTGGGGCAAATAATGCCCCATATGGGGGCACAGTCTGCCAGCCCAAGCCCACAGAGAAAGGGTCGGTGACAGATATTTGAGTTTCTGTCTACCCATGAGAGTGCCCCCCTTGGGAACCTGGAAGTCCTGAGCACAACAGGGAAATGTTTGGGAGAGGCGCTGGGATAAGTCTTAGGGGCAGGGGCAACATTGTGACAAGCTGGTACACTGAATTTAGTCATTCCTGGTCCCTAGTCCCAGGCAAGGTGCCTTTGGGAAACCTCACTGCTTGTCTGCAATGGGCCTAAAACTAGACCTTTTCCTGCAGATACATGTCTCTTCCCGGGAAGAAAGACCCTACTTCCTCTACTCTTCTGGACCAGTGATGCCTAGCTCATAGAGTAGCACACTAATTTTTGGAGTTATAGAGCCATGCTTTAGTTTCCTGACTTCCCAGCTAAGAGCTCAGGTTCAGTGTTCCCCAAGAGTTGACTTGGGAGGTGAAGGATGCTTGGAGAGGCTGTACTTGATGCCTTTACTTACAGAACCTGAGAATTCCCTGCAAAGAACATCAGAGATGGTTTATTTTCGTTTAAAATGAATAAATAAATATTTTCTATATATATACACACACATACACATATACATATACACACACACACACACACACACACGGAGAAACAGGCTCAGGAAGCAGTGGTGGGGCTTGTTCCATATTGAACAGTTTATTGGGGCCAGAACCTTCACCCAGGTGTCCTGAACTTCCAGCCCTTCTCCCATGGCATCAGAGTTCAGAGGAGATGAGAAGGGCAAGAAGCTGCTATTTGAGTAGCACTTCCACACAGGTTGTTCTGTTTGGGGAGAACAATCCTTAAATGAGAACATATGAGACTCTTTTTCTACTGAGACAGATAGTGGTGAATATGCTGTGCTCAAGGCCCTGATGTCTTCAGCATCAACTGAGTATGAGGTTACTGCTTTGGATCCTTTTAGTTTCCACCAGTGGAATCTGACCTGCGGTTGGTAGTAGGGAAGAAATCTGGGGTAGCTTCCAGAAGCATTTGCTGTAAATTGTTGGGTAGCTGGCAGCTGTAAGGTCAGCATAGTAGACCAGAGCTGTCCATCATTTCCTAAGGACCTTCCCAGTTCCAGGCTCTAGGCTGTGCCCAGTGGAACAAAGATGAGTGTACCCAGGCCCTGTCCATGGGGACTCCAGTGTAGACATACTTTTGTAACCCTTCTTATTTCAGTGTTTTTACCATGGGCAGATATGGATTGGGGGAGGCACATGAATGACAACAGAAAGGAGCTGGCAGTTTTCTCAGGCCTTCTGTGCCAACTTTTCACTAGTACAGGACTCCCCCCAAACCATAACGACATGGATTTGTTATCATGTTAAAAATAGGATTTAACACCAAGTGAATGATGCAAACAGAGTCACTTTAGGAGTCATACCTTTATTACTATTTTTAAAGATTTATTTATGCATATAAGAGCTGGGGTACAGGCCAGAGGTGTGGGGGTTGGGGGGTGAGAGGATTCACCAGAGACAGGGTGGGGAGCAGAACAGGTGGATTGACTGAAATACACTGCTGAGGGAGCCGTGGGCAAGACAGGAGAGGTCTGCTGCACCATGTGGGTTGCTCCCTGGCCAGGGATCGAACTCATGCCTGCAGTAGTTACGGATAGCTTCATAGTGCTGGCGCTTAATCCCTTGTGCCCAGGGAGGCCTCTAAACCTTTATTTTTAAACTAGTTTTAGATATCTTGAAGAGTTGCAAAGGAAGTACAGTTTCCACGTCTTCCTCACCCAACTTCTAGTGTTAACATCTTTCATAACCACAGTTGTCAGAGCCAGGAAATTACCAATGCATTTGGTTTAGTTAATCTGGTAAACTGATATTAACTAGACTTTTTCCAGTTTGCAGCATTTTTCCTAGTATTGTTCTCCTGTCCCAGGATCCTATGTGGAATCCCATTTTGCACTTATCATTTCTCCTCTCTCGGTTGGTAACAGTTCCGGGGTCTCTCTACATCTTTCTTAACTTTGATACTTTTAAAGAGTTACTTTGTCAAATGTGCCTTAATTTCCTTGTCAGATATTTTCTCCCCATTGAAGGAGGTTATGCAATTTGGGCAGAACTGACAAACACAGCACTCTGTCCTTGAAGCTTTGATCTGAGGCTTCTCCTACGATTTGCCTTATTACTGGTGGCTCTGGTCTTGGCTGCGCATGGGAGTGGTTTCCGCCTATCTCCCTTCTGTGCAGGAGGTAGAGTCCTCATTTGAATGAAGCTAGTGCGCTCAGCATTCTTTTAGGGTTGTCTTTGGAGTCTCTGAATGGCCCAGGGAAACATTTCTTTGACCTCACAAAGCTTTATTCCTGGTAACTTAAAAAAAAGACAAGGCTCCTAGCACCACAGTGTCCCTTTCTGTCACTGGTCGAACCAGAGGGTGTCTCTGTCCTGCCTGCCTGTCCCCTGTGTTGGCTGCAAGTTTGACTTTCCTCCCTAGATTTTCATAGATGGTGGCTCAGGCTCTGAGTTAACGTCTGAAATATTCAGGTACTCTAGGTTAGTTTGGGTCTGAGTGGTGAAATTCAGATAGCTGTGCTCCTCTTTCCAGATAATATTTATCAGGATCTTTAATTTAAAAAACTAGAAAAAACCCAAAGCTCACGCTCACAGGGGCAGTGTGAGGGCGAAGTCATGAAGGGGCCTTGGCGGCTCTGGTGTAGTCCTAACTTAGTGTTTCTCTGGCTCTCGTTCCTGCAGAGAGCCTTGCGCATGTTAAGCTCTGCTCTCTTTTCTTCCCAAGTGCCTCCCTCCCCAGCGGCCCTTCAAGCAGCCCTGGGAGTGTCCCCACCACTGTGCCCGTGCAGATGCCGAAGCCCAGCAGGGTCCAGCAAGCCCTTGCAGGTAGGCTCCTGTTCCAGAACAAACTTGAGGAGGGGAGAGGGAAGGGTATGGTGCAGAAGGATGGTGTGGGTAGGAGGGGAAGATTGTGGGGCTGGAGGTCTTGTTACCTCTGTGATCTCATAGATACCAAAGTGTTAGGGAGCTACTAAAGGTTTCTTTTAACTTATGGGAAATGTGAAATACATAGAAAGTTAGGACTAAAGAGTGTTGATGAACCTTGTCATTTAAAGGTTGAAGTGGGAGAATAAGATTAACCATAGTTCCTATGTTAGGTGAGTGACTAGAGTACAGGAGGACTAGGGTGGGGCAGGTGTAGGCGTCGAGTCAGGGAGCTACCTGTGGAGCCTGACTTCATATCTCAGGTGAGCCAGAGAGGCCTGATGAGAGCATGGCAGCAGAATGGAGGCAAGAGCTTCATATCTGGTGATTGCCTTGGTTGTGAGACAGGAGGAATAGAAGAGGCGGGTATCCAACTTTCATTATTAGTAATGAGAACTGACTAAATAACTAGGGACTGTGCATGTTTGTTAATTTATTTAATTCCAGCAACAAGTCTGTGAGGTAGGAACATTTATTTATATTTCACCTTTGAGAAAACTGAAGCACAAAGAATTCTTTTTATTTAAAAGGTTTATTTATTAACTTAAAGATTTATTTATTTGTGCATACAAGAGCTGGGGTACAGGCCAGAGGTATTGGGGGGGATGAGAGAATTCACCAGAGACAGAGCAGGGAACAGAACAGGCAGACTGAAATACACTGCTGAGGGGAGCAGCAGGCAAGTCAGGAGAGGTCTTCTGCACCATGTGGGCTTCTCCCTGGCCGGGGATCAAACTTGTGCTGCAGTGGTTGCAGATAGCTTCATAGGTTGCGTCTTAACCCCTTGCGCCACCAGGGAGGCCCCAAGATTTATTTATTTATGCATACAAGAGATGGGGTACAGGCCAGAGATGCGGGGGAGTGAGAGGATTCACTAGAGACAGAGTGGGAAACAGAGCAGGCAGACAGACTGAAATACACTGCTGAGGGTAGCAGCAGGCGAGACAGGAGAGATCTGCCTCGCCATGTGGGTTGCTCCCTGGCTGACTGGAGATTGAACTTGTGCTGCAGAGGCTGCAGATTGCTTCATAGTGCGTTGCTTAACCCCTTGCGCCACCAGGGAGGCCCAGCACAAAGAATTCTAAGCTCTTCTCCAGGGTCAGCCAACCCTTGGCCAGCTGGGATTTGGCCTCAGAATCCGGGATCTTCCTCATCACACTTTGCCCTTCTGAGTCTGGGGAGGTGGGCATTCAAAAGAGTAAGGTGTAGACAAGGCAGAGCTGACCCAAGGCCTTGAGAGTTTGGATGTGCAGCTCAGAAGAGCAGTCTAGGTGAAATGAGGTAGCCTTCTCCCTGTGCGAGTGTGTGCGTTCACAGGGACAGCAGGGGAATGGGAAGCGGTGCCATTGAAGGAAGTGGAAGGACTAGTTAGAAAGGAGGTAAAGATGAGTGGGTGGGGCCAGGAGAGCCCAGAAGGGAGACCCTGCCTAGCAGACCCTCTGGAACCTGCTTCAGCTACTCATCCATCAACCTCTGCTAGGGCCAAGAGAACAAACAATAAGCAAACATGTGACTAGAAAGTTCCTGCCCAGTTTAGGTTTTGTGGCATCAGATAACATAGGTGAGTCATACCTCTGTTTGTGTGGTTATAAACATGTGTGCATGCATGCATGTGCTTGTGTTTAATATGTGTGGCAGTGGTCTGCTAGAGAAAGATTATAGGGAAACAGGCCGGCCTGCACATGACCTAGCACCTCTCAACTCTCAGTACTAGGATCCTAAAACAGATCTTATAATAACCTCTCTAAACATATCTCTGAAGGAGTCGGGGACTGAGTAGCTCTTGCTCCCTTTCCTCTGCTCTTGAGGCTGAGGACCCTCTCTAGGCTGTATCCCAGATTATCTAAAGTGTCCCATCATCTGGGTTCACAGAGCAATCCTAGAGGCACAGGCATTTTAATCTCCATTTTGCTCATTGAGGAAATTGATCCCCACAGTTCAGAAACTTGGTCCCAGCTAAGATAGATTAAACTCTGGAGCCCATACCAGGTGCCACTTCTGAGCACAGGACTCTGGTTGTGCCTGTTGGTGGGGTTGTTGTCTAGGGTCCCAAAGGAGAAATCCTGGGATAACCCCCAAGAGGCAGCATCTGGGCGATGTGCATGGGTTCCTTCTAGAATATGCATGATTGCAGTCAGGTGGCATTTGGGCATAGGGATTAGCAGGTAGGTTTACAAGTAGCTGGTTGTGCTGAGGAAGGACTCTGTACCCTTCTGTGCTGGCAGAAGAGGTCTCCAGACAGAGGCACTACCTCCAGGTCAGGCATGCCTCAGGTGGCAGCCTTATTGGCTGTGGCCTGGCCGGGCCCACTCCTTTGTGGAGGTGGGGGGTGGGACAGCCCACAAGGCTTGGGCCAGATTCCCCAGCTTCAAGGGAGGAGGAGCTTCTCTGAATTTTATACTGCCTCAACCTGTCCAAGCTGTGTCAGCAGGGAGGGGCTGCACTGACTGGAACCCAGCTTGATAAGGCTAGAGCCAAAGGAGGAGCGCCTTGGATCTGAGCCCTGGGCACTAGACAGAAGCCCAAACTGTGGTGTCAGAAAGGTGTCTTGCAGGGACTTTACTTTCTTGGACTCCAACAGATAAAGTGAGAATCCATTCCAGTGAGTAGAGAACCCTCTACTGTGACTGGGGGTGTTAGGAGTTTAGGGGACTGTTCCTTACCCTTTGCTGTTAGGGAAAATGTGATGGTCCATTCTTGGTGTCTCCCTCTCACCCCCTCCACTGAATGTTGCTTTTGAGAAGTGTTGGGTGTGGGGAATTTCAGACCTCACAAGGAGACCCACAGACTGGATGCTTCTCTGTAGGCTTCCCAGTTGAGGTACTGTGTCTGTGCCCCAAATTCAGGGGAACAGGTGCTGCATTGACTATAGCAGGCCTCTTGAGATATCTTCATTGGGGATATCTTCATTCCCTGAGAGTCTGTGTACCTCCTATGATCAGGTGCTGCCCTGTGGGCTTAGTGGGGTAGGTGCAGGGATGACAATCACAAAACAGATATGAGCTCTTCCGGGGGGGTAAGGCTGTCACATGGAGTAAAAGGGAAAGGCTTGGAGAGGAATGTGACCTTTTAGGCAGGGTTGTGAGAGAAATGGGCCTCGAGGGAGAGGTATGGTAAAGTGAAGTGAGTGTATATTGGGGTGGAGGTCAGTCAGCACAAAGTCCCAGGTTCTCCTAAGGAAAATTCTTCCTGTTTCCTTTCTGTCCATATTTCTACTCCTTTTCGTGCTTGTTATTCTGTCCTTCTGACACTTAATTTCCAGGGGAACATGCATCTGAGTTCAGGAACAACCTCGGGGTGCTGGTAGCATTGCCCAGGTGCAAGCCTCAGCCTTCTGAGGCACAACTTGCCCAGCTCAGCTGTGTTGCCCAGGCTGTTGGCTGGCTTCTGCTTCTGCCCTGACTGAGCACATTTGCCGTCAGAGTGCCCCTGTTCTTCTGTCCCAGATGGATTCCTGAGTCCAGATTTCCCTTCCCTTGCTGAGTCACCTTTGGAGGGGGCAGCTGTCTGCTTGGCTTGTCCTGGGTGGTATATAGAGCCCTGCAGGGGCAGTGTCGCTACTTCCTGCTCCAGGATGCCCACTCTGCCTGGAAAGCCACACTCGGTGGTGCCTGAGGAGCCCCACAATCTTGGGGGAGGTGCTTTTGAGCCAGGCTGAGGACAGGGAGGGTTGAGTAGGTGCTGTGGACAGCAGGGCAGGCTGGGTAGGGCAGAGAAGTAGCAGGAAGAGGAACTCTGGCAGTTGTACTTGCTCTGTTCAAGGAACTATTGCCCTCAAAGTTCCAAGGGAGCAGTATGGGGTAAGGGCTAGCCAAGGATGCAGCACCAGGCTGAGGAATGTGGCCTTTTCCCTGTGGGCACTGGGAACAGTGGATAGTTCATCTCAGCATGGCTACCTGCTACATGTCTCACCCCCTGTGGACATGTATGCCCACCCCAGGGCAGAGGGACTTGTACCTCCTCTGAAGGCAGCAGGGAATGAAGGTGCATTCCAGCATCTTTGCTGTTCCAGAGGAGTGGTTACAAGGACACCTCCTCCACGGAGCAGGCCCAAGAGCAGCATTCCTGTGGCCCTGAAGGCACCTGGGTAACACACCACTGGAGGGCGGGTGACCAGAATCAAGAGGGCACAGTCAAGGGAGCAGAGCCTAGGGCTGTGAGTGGAGACCTGTCCAGGTCTTCATAGCTTGGCTGTGCCCTTCCGTATTGCCCATTTTGCTCTCCTTCCTGTGCCTGGCACAGGGAGACACCCCTGGAACTGCTTAGGAAGCCTCCTGGGGTGGTTCTCCCTTCTGCCCTCCTGGAGCCAACATGCTCTGGGTATGGGCCAATGGGTTGCACATATGGACACTTGGAGGACTTGGGGCAAGGCTCTGACGAGCAAAGCATTTCACTGTTTCCTGGCCAGAAGCTTAGTCCAGCCGGCTTGGTTGGGCCCAGGCAGCCTTTGGTGGTTGGGTTCTGTGGGAGATCAGTGGGTCCTGATGGCTGTTCAAGTGCCACCTCCTGGATTTGGCCAGGGTTTGTGGATGTCATGTGCTTTATGACTCCTGCTAACGTTTCTCCCCTCTCTGCATGTCTGATCTCGCATCCTGTGTAGGCATGACGAGTATTCTGATGTCAGCCATTGGACTCCCTGTGTGTCTTAACCGCGCACCTCAGCCCGCCAGCTCTCCCGCCTCCTGTCTGGCCTCTAAAAGTCACAGCTCAGTTAAGAGATTGAGGAAAATGTCCGTGAAAGGTAGTTCCTACTCACAAATCCTCTCTGGCCTCTGCTAAGCCTCCAAGTCTTGCTGCCTCTGACTGTCCCGCATTGAGCTTCTTCTCTGGACCCCCATGGTCCTCCTCTGCTTCCTTTCCCTGCTGGGGGATGGGCTCAGTGGCCCTTTTCCCTGCCCTGGGCAGCAGAAGCAGAGGTGGCCCCCTGGGAATCTACTTTCTGAGTAAGACCAGAGTCCAGGTCCTGTTTCCCTGGCGCAGTTTGAATGAGAGGGCTTACTCTTGAGGCCTCTGTGACTTTGTGAACACACAGGTGTGGGTGAGGCCTGGTTCAGGATGGGGGGGTGACTGTCACTTCCCCTAGGACCAGCGTGTGCCTCAGGACAGGCCCCCAGCCCATGTGGGGCTACTTAGAGAGCCTCCCAGTGATTCACTGCCCAGCCCAGGGAGAAAGGGGTTTCAGAATCGTGGAAGGTGTAGCGTTTTAACAGGACTTGTGTGGAGGGGCCTGTGGGTGGTACGTTCTAAAACTGCTATTTCTGAGGCCAGCTGTGGCTCGGTCAGTGATTCGGATGGCCTACGAGCAGGGAACCCAGCTCTGGCTCAGCCCCTGCTGGGTTTCAGTTTTGGCTCCAGTGCTTGGAGGCTTTGTGATCTCACCTGTCACTATTCATGCGCCGGTGCTTCCTCCTCAGCAGATAGGTTGTGGGAGGGATAGGACATACACAAATAGTGGCTGCTTTCAGCATGGCCACTGTCACTCCACAGGGAGGGAGGTCTACCCAGATCCCCCAGACCCTCTACCACCCCCAGCTGTCAGGGCAGCCCTTGGAGCTCCTGGCCTGGGAGGTGGAGATGGAACTGTGGGCAGGGCAGGCCTCCAGCTATCTGAACCTTTTGAGCTAAACCAGGGGGAATGTGTGCTCATAAGAGACCCTTTGGCCTTTCTGACCCTCTGGGCTCAGGTGTCCTGTTCATGGGGTTGATGGTCGCTGACTGGCCCCCTTTGAGAAGAGTGCTCACAGAAAGCTGGACTCGCCAGAGATTGGCCAGAAGCTAGTCTCAGCAGATGGGGTCTGGGGTCCATCTGGAGACTCACTTGTGGTCTCCAGTCTCCCCTCATTCTGAGGAGAGTCCCAGCCCCCAGGACAGCCACCCAGTGCCAGTGGTCATTGTGCTTTTAGCCTGACTTTCTCACCACAGTGACCAGAGTTGGGGTCCTGGAAGAGTGTGTGTGTGGGGGGGTGTGGAGACAGGAGTGTTTGTGTGTGTGTATATATATGGGGGGTAGTATAGTGTGTGTGTTTGTGTGTGTGTGTGTGTGTTAGGGGGAGGGTAGTATACAAGAAGTATGTGGGGATGTGTATTTATATGGGGGGGTGTGATGTAGGTGGTGTGTGTGTGTTTAGTAGGTGTGTGTATGGGTGTGTGTACAGAGGTGGTATATGAGTTGAGGGGAAATTTGTATATATGGGAGGGTATTGTGGGGTGTCTGGTACTCCTTTGCCTGTAGTTGCCATTCAGGTAATAACAGCTAATGCTTTTATAACCATCACATCCTCAGTCAGCTTTAGGCTTCCCCATTTTAGATGAAGGGTTTAGTCACATGGTGACGTGATTTGGTCACAAGAGCCAGAATCAAACCTGATGTCAGTGGGTCCCAACCTCTGCTCAGCTCCTGACTGTACCCCTGGCCTGCTCTGGTAGAAGGAGCTCAGTCACTGAGCCTTAGGCTTGAAGTCTGTACAGCACAGTCTGATCACTTTAAGTTAGGGTTAAAACTAAAGCCGACAGTGACCTTGAGGCAGGTGAGGAGCTCCTGCCAGGGTGCTGATCTCTGACCTCCCCTTTGCTCCTGCATGGGTTTTGCTGCCATCCTCTGGTTCTGCTATTGCCTTTCCTGGAGAAAGCCCAACTCTCACTGGGGGATTCTCTGGGGTGGGGCCTGTTCAGTGCAGCCCTGCCCCCCACCAGATTCATGCATGAGTATACAGAGGAGCAGGGTGGACAGGGAGTCCTTCCTGCTGCATGGACTAGGCATGTAACTGAGCCCCCACAGTCCAGGGACAGGTATGAGAAGACTTTACAGTTTATCACAAGTGTCAGTGTGGTTATCCTCTGCAGTCAGCAGGCACAGACGCCCGCTGTGCTTGGCTAATAAAACTTCTCTTAATGAGACTTTCACACAGAATGATGAAAGTTGAGTAAAATAACATCACTAGAATATGCCACAGAGTACTTCATTTCAGAAACTGCAATTTGACAATTTTGTGTGTCCTCCCAGGAACCTGGGTCTAGTTTCCTGATTGATTGTGCACAGCGACGAGGCTGGGGCCCAGCACTGCCTCCTGGGGGCTGTGACAGGCTGCTGTGTTTTCCGTACTTGCCTTCCCCGGGGCTCCTGGCCTGGGCTAGATGGCGCCCACAGTGGGTGGGTGGGCCCACATAGGGCCTTTGCCAGTTAGAGCTCTGGAGTGTTCCTCGTCTGGCATCTTTCTTGCACACTAACCCACCCTTCCTAACCCTCTAACATCCCTTGTGGCAGCTTGGACTCTCCTTGGCCTCCTTCCTCTGATTTCAGTATCTCCAGTTCCTACTTCTTGGAATACCAGTTATGTTCTTCTGTCTTCTAGGAGTGACTGCAAAGCCAGAGCCAGAGCAAGTGATAAAAAACTACACTGAAGAGCTGAAAACACCCCCAGATGAGGTATGTGTCATGGGTACTACGTTGCTTTGGAAACGAAGGGTAACTCCAGACGAGGAGGATACCCACCTGTTCTCTGCTAGAAGGGTACTTCCCCAGGTGCCTCTGAGTGCCAGGCACCAGGCTTGGGCACTTAGATTTTAATCTCTCAGTGTCCCATAGGAGGCAGGCATTGCTGAGATGCTTCAGCCATGGCTCCTGAGACCTACAATTCCCATCTTAACTCTGTCACTAACGAGCTGTGGTCCCAGGCAAAGCTGCTTTCACACAGGCCTGTGCCTCACCCACTCCCTGTGCCATCCTGGGGGTCAGGGGTCCTTGGAGACATGAGACAGGAGAGCCTGCCCCACTTCCCGCTGCTGACACTGGGGTAGATAGAAGTGGAGGGGTCTTGTCCAGGTAGCAGAACTGCCCTCTGCTGCTGGAAAAACCAGTCAGGGATCCGGTGTGATAGCACCTGCCAGACCCCCCTGCATCAGCTTCGGTAGGACCTGACTCTCTGCTGAGCCAGGTTTTGGGGACTGTAGTGCCACTTTTCTCTAGTTTGAGGCCAGGAGGATCTAGAGCAGGTGGGTTAAGATCATCAGCCAGCACAGAAGCAAATAGTCTTCACTTGCCTCTTTCCTTCAAGTCTAGCACTTGAGAAAAATCTGGTTGGTAAAGGTTTGAATAGAAACTTTACTGTCATGCTCATAACCCCCATCCTGCCTCAAGTCCTCTCTGTCCTCCCACTTCACAGCTCTTCATCTGCCTCTTTCTCTGGGCCCCTTTGTTCATCCAGCTCAGCTGGGCTGCTGTGCCTCAGTAGGCTCCTCTCCAGGCTGCCATCTACACGGGTGGCAGCAGTGACCTTGGGAGTACCTCTTCCTAACGCCCCTCAGCGGGGACCCCCTGAACAGGGAAGCTAAAGCTCTAACTTCTGAGCATGGTGATCAGAACTTTCCAGCATCTGTCCTCTCTCCTGTCCTTATCTCCTACACCAGCTTCACCCCTGCCCTCTGTAGGGGCCAGTGTCCCTCCCCAAATTACATGCTGCTTCGTGCTTCAGAATGTTCTTTCCTCTGCCTGGAATGCCAGTTCCCATGCTCGTCTACCTGACAGGCCCTTTCTATTATGAAACCCAGCTTTGAGGGCCTCTCCTGCTCTTTCCTCCCTATGTGGCTATCCCTGCTGCCCTCTGCGTCTGTGCTGCTGTTACTGCAGTGGCCCCACACTCAGTGTTGCCTGTCGTCCCCTCTTCGCTAAGTCCTTTGAGGACACAGCTCGCCATGACTCTTCTGTGTTCCCAGCCTTTGGAACTGACTGTTGAATTTACTTTGACTGTAATTCCAGCATTCCAGCAAACGAGGGCCTTTTCCTACAAGACTTGCCTTGCTGGGCACAGCTGCCAATGACAAGTGTGCTCTGTGTTTGGTCCCCTCCAGGACTGTATCATCTGCATGGAGAAGCTGTCTGTGGTGTCTGGGTACAGTGACGTGACTGACAGCAAGACCATCGGGCCGGTGACTGTGGGCCGCCTTGCCAAGTGCAGCCATGCCTTCCACCTGCTCTGCCTGCTGGCCATGTACTGCAACGGGAACAAGGTGCCCATGCACTTGGCCCATGGTGGGGGGTGGTGACCTGAGCAGGTAAGCTCAGGGGCAGCGAGGGACCTGGGGCATGCTTGCAGGCAGCCCTGAGATGTCTGTAGCCCTTGCCTTGCCCAGGGTAGGGGTCGGCAGCTAGAGTGGCATGATACCTGACTGCTCTTCTTTCAGTGGAGTTTATCAGAATGGACAGGGGTTGGGGGCAGAGAACTGAGCCATATGGCAGACCTTTAGGCCGCTGTGCATCTCCTGCCGATATCCCTGTGCCATCCTGTACCAGCCGGGGTGGCAGCATCAGTAGTTAATTTATTACAGGGTTTTGTTTGATTTTAAATGTGGTTACACTATTGAGACTTACTCAAACCTGATTTTCCTCCCTGATGCCAGTCTCTCGATACCTTACCCATTAATGAAAATGGCTTCACAAGTTTCCAGTGCAACACTTGCCTTTCCAAGGAAGCTGTTGAATTGAGTTTCTGTGAGGGGAGGTGGCCTGGGATCCCTGTATGGCAGCTGTCGACCAACTCCCCTGTGGGCCCCTTTCCCGTTTAGAATGGTGAGTGTGCTTCGGTGGTCTCTCAGGACTGCTGGCTCAGTCTGTGACATTCTTCCTTGTCTCAGGATGGAAGTTTGCAGTGTCCGTCCTGCAAAACCATCTACGGAGAGAAAACTGGGACCCAGCCCAGGGGGAAGATGGAGGTGTTCCACTTCCAAGTGTCCCTCCCTGGCCATGAGGATTGCGGGACAATACTCATAGTTTACAACATTCCTCATGGCATTCAGGTAAGGGGCCCTGGTATAAGAGGAGCTTCCTCGGACCTTTCTGGAATCAGTCACTCTGAGGGTGCTCTTCATCCTACCCTGCCCTTTCCCAGCAGGGCTCCTGGGTCGCTGTGAGAATTCCCAGACTGCCAGGCTCAGGTTCCCAGAAACCAGGAGACACTAGTGCTGGGGGCTAGAGTTAGTTCTTAGAGCTGTGGAAGCAGAGAGGTGGCCCTCTATCCTTTCCTGAAGGGAGGGCTTCCTGGAGGTGGAGACATCCTAGCTGAACTTGTACTGGGCAGAAGACCACACACATAAGCAAGAAGAACACTGTGTTGAGGGACTGGATAACTGGGGAGCCCATGGTTGGGAAGCTTCCCAGGGACAGCATCAGGATAGGGAGGTACCACCACTGAGGACTCCTGTCCTTGAGAGATGCAAGCCTAGGTTAGGTGGCAGGGCCAGATCTGTGTACCCAGTGACATAACCACCTACAACTCCAGGTTCTCCCCAACGTTGTGGCTTCACTCCCATCTGGAATGTTTTTTAAATTTGACTTTAAGTCATGGGAAAGAAGTGTAGGGAAACCAGGCAAGAGTATGTGATTCAACAGAGGGTTGTCCTGCCTAGCGCCAGGCTTTAGCAGGGGTACTTCAAGGCAGTTGTCAGGGACAAGAAGGAGCCCCTCTCTGGGCACTCCCATTCCTGAGGTTTGTGTTCTTTCTGCAGGGCCCAGAACACCCCAACCCTGGAAAGCCGTTCACCGCCAGAGGGTTTCCCCGCCAGTGCTACCTTCCTGACAATGCCCAGGGTCGCAAGGTAAAGGCCTGGCCACTGACTATGAGGAGGGCCCTTGGGCTAGCAGGACTGCACCTGGCTGCCAGGTGGAGTGCCAGGCAGATGGGGTGGGATGGGGCTGGCCTGGCAGTGGAGACCTGGTGACAACACTCACACCTGCCTCTGTGCACCTTCTTACTGCTACAGGAGGAGATAGATGAGCCTTGGGGACTAGCTGGGGTGTTGCTGGTCCTTCTGGAGGCCCCCATGGGTTAGGCAGCCTCTGGGTGCCAGGGATACAGGGAAATGTGACCTAGCTTGTCTGGCACTCCCTGGCTGTTGGGCTGGGTCACATGCTCTTCAGTCACGCTAGCTGAGGTGCTAGGAAGAGGCTGGGGTCAACCGGGGAACTGCCTTTGCACTCACACCTAAGTTGAGACCTTCCAACTTTTGAGATGGCAGGGAAGAACATTCTAGGAGAACAGGTAGTTTTTGATTTGGAGATGGAAATGGCTCCTGTGTTTAGGAGGGAGAACCAGGCCTGTGGGTGGAGGAGTGAAAGCAGCTCATTGTGGGAATGGGTTTTTTTACCCAGAGCGCTGTATCATCCCGGGAGCAAGAGCTGCTGACTTTGGGTTTGAAAAGCTCCCTTGGGCTGCCAGGCCTGGTATAGTGGTGGAGAGCAGCAAGGAGGAGGGAGGAGGAACTCATCTAAGATGTTCTTGGAAGAGGGGCAGAGTCAGGATGGTTCCAGGGCCTGGCTGGAGGAGCTGGCGGCATGGCTGGGTGGGAGGGCTGGACATGGGAGGCCACGACACACATCATGGGCAAGTAAGTGTGAGGTTCTGTTCGCCTGTCAGGGTGGCAGCTGGAGTGCCGGGGGTCAGAGCTGGAGTTCAAGGCTGAGGAATCCCCCTGATGGGGTTTCAGGCCCAGGGCTGTGGATGAGATCTTCTAGCAGGAACTAAAGTGGAGAGAATGACCCGTACCCACTCCTGCCCACCGCTAGCAGTGCAGGTGGATGGAAGGGAGGCGAGTGCCCGGTGCTGCTCTACCCACAGCTGATTCCTGGTGGGTGGTTGTGGCTGCTGTCCTTGACCTCAAGGCAGGAGCAAAGCAAACTTGTAGGGGGGGCCAGTAGATGCCCCCACCCTGCCACCCCTGCTCCAGGGGTGAAAACCAAAGAAGACACAAGCCAGCTTATTCACCGACCTTCCCTCTCTCTGCCTTCTTCCTCTCTCCCCTCCTCTCCTCTTCCAACACTGCCACCCGCCACCACCACCACTGACAGGTCCTGGAACTGCTGAAGGTGGCATGGAAGAGGCGACTCATATTCACAGTGGGGACATCCAGTACCACAGGCGAGACGGACACAGTGGTGTGGAATGAGATCCACCACAAGACAGAGATGGACCGAAATGTCACAGGTCACGGCTACCCTGACCCCAACTACCTGCAGAACGTGCTGGCAGAGCTGGCCGCCCAGGGGGTAACTGAGGACTGCCTGGAGCAGCAGTGACTCTCTAGCCTGGCTGGCCCCGTTCCCCACCATCATGCTTGCCTCTGGCACCAGCAGGGCAGGGTTGCCCCCTGGGATGGGCCGGCAGGAAGGTGCCTTTTGTGAGAGGTTGGAATGTTTGTCGTGGGCACAGGCATGCACCGCTGAAAGCTAGGGCTTCTCCTGCCTGCCTTTCCCCCATCCTCCCCTCCAGGCCTGGATCGTGTGGGAATTGGGCAAGACTAGGGAGTTGTACTTGTGGGGCTTAAGAGGCAGCTACCTCAGTGCAAGGGCCCTCTGTCCTCGGTGGGTGGCATTGGGCCCTCAGTGCCAGGGGCCTGGCATGGGGCCAGGAGAAACTGCTCCCTTCCCATCCAGGGGCAGGTATGGGTCTGGGTCAGCTTCTTATACCTCAGATGTTCTGTTTGCAATAAATGCCCTGTAGCCAAAGTCAGCGGGCCCTGGTATGTCTTTCAGTGGAGAGACTGTGATGGATCTGGGGTGTGTGTATATGTGTATGTGAGAGAGAGATGTGGGGTGTATGTGATCTGGGGTGTGTCTGTGTGATCTGATGTGTGAAGGCCAGCACACACATGTGCTACTACATCGGAATAGGAAGGCACCTCATGGCTGCCCACTTGACCCCCAGTTCCCAAATGCAGCTGTGGCTCCCACTCCCACGTCCACCTCCCCTCTGGTTCCTCTGGCCTCCTCAGGGCTCTGGTTTATATGGTGCAGCCCACATGGACCAGGAGCGCCTTTCTCCATTTCACAGATGAAGAAACTAAGGCTCCAGGCTTAGGGTGGAGGTGAGGCTAGAAGCCGGGCCGGGACTGCTCTGAGGCCAGCCTCAAAGCTGCAGTTCTTCTCGACCCTCTCAGAAAGAGGATCAAGTTCTCTCACATTTGCTTTCTGCCTGGGGCTGGAAGGACACAGGGCCAGGTTATGCCTGGACCCTTGCGCCATAAGAGAAAAAACTAAAAGTTCTATTTTATGATTTATTGGTATAAAGATAACTATATATTACAGCGTTTTTTTCCCCTTTTTCCATCTAAGTTTGTTTTCCTTCTTTCTTTAAAAGAAACTAAAATGGGGCCTCCCCGGTGGCGCAGCGGTTGAGCTCTGGGTTGCGAAGCTGCCCGCAGCCTCTGCGGCGCTGGTTGAATTCCCGGCTGCTCCCCGGCCACCGGAGGAGGGTCCCACATGGCGCGCAGACCTCTCCTGCCGCCCGCTGCTCCCCTCAGCAGTGTCCTTCTGTCCTTCTGCCTGCTCTGCTCCCCGCTCTGGCTCTGGTGAATTCTCTCACCCTCCCGCGCTTCTCACTGTACCCAGTGCTTGTATAAACAAAACAAACAAACAAACAAACAAACAAATAAATAAAACATGCCTCTCTAAAAAAAAAAAATTGTAATAAACTAAAATGTTTTTGTGGCCCCTGGGCATCATACCCACTCTACCTCCCTGGGGAGCCTGGAGGCCTAGATAGGGACCTCACTGGGTTCCACCACGAGGCATGAGACTGACTCACAGCACAGGAGGTGTGCACCCCAGGGCCCTGCCACCCTCGACTCACAGTTAAAGTCCGGCAAGAGTCAGAACAGAAAACAACTGCAGGATGTATACCGGCTAAGGCTCTAATATCCAGATTTGTGTATCTTATATCCAGATTATGTATCTAATACATAAAGGACTCATAATTCATCAAAAACCACCCATTTTTTAAAAACGGGCAAAGCACTCAAGTAGCCTCTCCCAAAGAAGATGTACAAATGGCTGACAAGCACAAGCAAGCTGTGGGATGTCATCAGGGAAACACACAACCTCAGTGATACCACTGCACACTCAGGGTCACTATTATTTAAAAAAATAAAATTAAAAAAAAGGAAAGTAAATGGTTAGGAGGTGGAGAGGCTGGAACCCCGGCCAGAGAGAACAGCCACTTCGGCAGTTCCCCAAAAAGGAGCCATCACGTGACTCAGCAATTCCACTTCTAAGTACATACACGTCCCGAAAACATGTCCTCACACAAACTTGTACCAAATGTTCACCCCAACATTACTCATAATAACCCAAAAGGGGAAACAACCCAAATCCATCAGCTGATGAATGGATAAACAAGATGTGGCGCATCTATACAGTGGAATATTTAGCCAAAAAAGGAAAGGCTGACACATGACAACATGGAACATGCGAGGAGAGGAGCCAGACAGGACACCAGTGTGTGCCCACTTAACCCGCAGTGTCTAGACCAGCAGGCAAACGCATGGAGGCAGAAAGTAGGCAAGTCGCTGCTAGGAGCAGGGGGTGGAGAGTGACTTAATGGGTAACGGTTTCCTTCTAGGGTGATGAAAAGGCCCGGAAATAGTGATGATGGTTGCACTGTCTTGTGAATATACTAACCCTTGGAGCTGCACGCAGACTTGAAGAGGATGGATCTTAGTGATGGAAGTTTGGAGTAGAACACTGAGGATGAAAATTTCACAAGGGGGCCTCCCTGGTGGTGAAAGAGGTTGAGCGCAGCACTGTGAAGCTGTCCGCAGCCTCTCATCGCGAGTTTGATCCCCGGCCAGGGAGCTGCCCACATGGCGCAGCAGACCTCTCCTGACTCGCCCGCTGCTCCCCTCAGCAGTGTACTTCGGTCAAACTGCCTGTTCTGTTCCCCACGCTGTCTGTGGTGGATCCTCTCACTCCCCCGCATCTCTGGCCTGTACCCCAGTTCTTGTAATCATAAATAAATCTTTAAAAAAAAAGAAAATTTCACAAGGTCAGAAACCAGAGGTGGTTTCTGAAATGATTAACGAGCTGTTAACATGGCCATGGAAGATCCACAGGACGGAAACAAGGTGGGGCGAGGTGTTGGTCATTACAAAGAGGAGTCCTTGTGGATGATCCCAGTCAGAACTCAGTCGTGAAAAATTCCACAATAGATAAAATTCCCAAAGCAATGAGTCCCCCTCAAAGAACACTATATAAGTGTACCCCTTGCTCTGGCAAACTGCAGACCTCGGCCATAACGCTGCCCACCTGTGCCCCTTTCAAAATACAGCTCCTTGCCTGTTTGTGTCTCTGCAAATGTTTTCCTTAATAGAACTGCAGTGTGTCACTGAACGGGGACTCTGCTGAAATCATTCTCAGAGGAACCCAAGAACCATACTCACTGAACCCCAGCATTAGGGCATGTGAATTATATCTCATTTTAAAAATAGAACCAAGGGGAGAATGTAAATGCGAGGGTTGTCAAGTGTCAAGGGTCTGCAATCCTTTCTCTGACACCAAGGTCTAGGACAAAGGAACTGAGGAGTGGGGAGGATGTGGCCTTGTACAGGAAGGGCAGGGCACAGAGATGGCAGCAGGGCCTGGAGGGATGCTTTGATGGGACTGGAGCTGAACAGGGTGGGGCTGCCTGCTCAGCTTTGGCTCCTGGTCAGTGGGAGGCTCCTGGCACATGGGTACAGGAATTTCAGGCATGCAGTCCTGAGCCCCTTTCTGGAGATTGGTCCTCCTCCCCAGATCTGGGAGGTTGGGTGGGGCCCATAGACTTGCAGCTCTGGGGAGGCTTGAAGCATCTGGGAGTGCAGTGGCCCCTCTCCCTCAGCTCTGACAGTGGAAACTGCCCCCACCCCCCACCCCCCGCCCCCACTAGAACCCCAGCCAGTGCCCTCCCAGAGGTGGGCGGGAGAGGGTAAATTTACATTTTCAGGTCTTTCCAGCTTTTGACCCGCCTGCAGCCTGACTAACCAGCTTCTCCAGGCCCAAGGTGTTGGGGGAGGGGTGCAGCAGGAGACAGTCAGACTCGGCTGTGGCTGTGGAAGAAGGCCGTCATGGGGCTCCCCCTGAGGCAGTCTCTGCCTTGGCTGCTGCTCCCTGTGGTGGCCCTGGCCTGGTCCCAGCTCTGCATGAGCCTGGGTGAGTGGAGGTCCCAGGGTGGATGGACTTAAGGGGTTGGGGCACCTGCTGCAGCGATCAAGCCTTGGGAACCCAAACCATCCAATGGGGAGGGGCAGCCTCCTGGGCAGCAACCCCAGGACCCTCACGCTGTCTCCATGGCTGCAGAGCTGATACCCTACACGCCGCAGATAACAGCCTGGGACCTGGAAGGGAAGGTCACAGCCTCCACGTTCTCCCTGGAGCAGCCACGCTGTGTCCTGGACGGACATGCCAGGGCTGCCGACACCATCTGGCTGGTAGTGGCCTTCAGCAACGGTGCGTCATGGTCAGGTCTGGGGCTCGGGGTAGGGCCGAGGGGCTGAGGAGTCCCTCTCGATCACCTTCATCTGGGGGTGGGATTTATCCTAAGGGAATCTGTCCTGAGGGAATTCCTCAGGATATCCTGAGCTTTATCCTGAGGGAATGCTAAAGGGTGGCAAAATGTACTTTGTGTCCAGAGGGCTGTCTGGACCCTGAGACCTGGAAGGCCAGGGCTGGACCCAGCCAAGGGCCATACTCCCCAGCCCTATCTGTCACTCCCTCCCCCAGCCTCCGCAGGATTCCAGAACCCACAGACACTGGCTGAGATACCAACTTACCCACGGCTATGGACCTATGGCCACTATATGACCATGCCACTGTCCCTGCACCAGCTGCCCTGTGAGGATCCAGTGGGCGGTGGCAGGGCTGTGCCCGTGCTGCGGGTGGGCAATGACCCCAGCTGCCTTGCTGACCAGTCACCCTACTGCAACGCGCCTCTCCCTGGCCCTGGCCCTTACAGGTGGGTCATCCTCTGGACCCTAGGTTGAGGGCTGTGCCAGGAGAGGCGGGGCTTGGGGACCAGGGCTGCCCCTTGTCATAACCTTGTCTTCGCCCTTCTTGGCAGAATGCCCTGCCACTTCACAAGCTTTGGCTTCTTCCTCTGCGGGTCGGGCGGTGCCACTCACCCAGCTTGGGGGCAGAAGTCAGTGAGCCCCAGGACTGTGGAGGAGGGTGTCTGCAGGCTCAGAGCGGGGGGCTGCTGGGATATAATCCTGGGGCCCACTGATCCCTCCTATGGGTGGATCTGGTAGGAAACTAAGCCTGGGAACTGAGTTCAGATCCAGTCAGGAGGGCATGAAGCAAGAAAGGAGGAGAGAAGACTCACGGCTTTTGCAGGTGAAGGAACTGAGGCACAGAACATAAAGTGGTTTATCAAGGTCAAGATGCAGCTGGGTGGGAGAGCGGAGTCTGGAATTGGGCTGCCTTGCCACGGACAAGGTCAGGGGTCCTCAAGCACACCAAACCCAATTGGAAGAACCAGCTCCCAATCCACCCGCCTGCCCTGACCTCTCACCAGCCCTGCCAGGCCCACCTTGCCAACAACCATGGCCTGGCTCAGCGCCCAGGGGCACCTTCTGCCCCACCCTTAGCAGCCATTGGAGCTGACTTCCCTCCTCTCCGCTGGCCTGTGTTCCCCCAGTCAGAAGCTGTCCAGAGCTCCTCTCCCCATACAAAGATGCAGCTGGAGCCTGTCTGAACCGTCTCAGTGCCCTGGAAGCTCAGCCTGCCCCTCCCTATCACCATGGACTCTGCGTGAGCCCTGACCACACCCCACCCCAGGTCTCTACCCTGGATGCCTGCCCTTATTGAGGGCTTTCCATGGCTCCATGCAGCCAGTGGGTCTCCCCTGGGAGGCCTGGAGCGCCCTAAACCAGAGAGGATGTCTGGAGATGGGCAGCTCTGATGGAGTGGGGAGGCTGGAAGTGTCACCGTGACCCATGAGGTCTCAGAGGTTTCTCAGCAGGGCCAGCCAGCAGTGGTCACCCTGCCCAGGACAGCTGAGGCCTCTAAACCTCACCACTCCACCTCTCTCTAGGGTGAAGTTTCTTCTGATGGACGCCAGGGGCTCACCCCAGGCTGAGACGAGGTGGTCCAATCCCATCACTCTGCATCAAGGTAGTGCTGGGCGAGTGGCACTGGCCCTAGTATGCTTCCGTGAAGTCACCCTCTGCAAAATGGCCATGTGCAGCCATGGAACTGGGGGCCTGGAGGCAGTGTCAAGTCCAGGCTGTCCCTACAATAGAACTTTGTGCTGGGGGCTTGGCCACTGCTCAGTCCCCTCAGCACAGGCACTGGCTCTGTCCATCCACAAATGTCTGTTTGCCAGCCCTTGGGTGCCCAGGCCCCAACCCAGTCGTGGACAGAAACAGCCCTTCCCCTCGTCCAGGGAGTCAGCCCTGTGCCAGGCACTCCCAGATGGGAGGAGAAGGGGTGGGTCATGGGTTCTGGGAGTTTGCCTTCTTCAAGGCCCAGAGGTTCCCAGTGATTGACCAGGTCAAAGTCCTCAGGGTGGGGGGCGGAGGGAGTCTTGGTGCCTGAAGCCCTCGAATGGCAGGCTCCAGGGAGCAAGGCAGCGACATGGTCAGTTCAGATATCTGCCTGCTATAGGCACAGCAGTCAGCAGGCACAGAGGTGGAATAGTCTGGAAGGTGAGACCAGGGTAGAAGCTGGAGCGAAGTGTGGTCCCATCACTGACAGGGGTGGATGGGTGTTTCAGGAGGCTGCCTGGGAACAGGAGGCAGCCAGGCTTTGGTGTGCATATGGGTGGAGAAGGGACTGCTCTGGGTCCACGTCAGCCTCTGAGCAGCTGCTATGATGCAGGGAAGTGCCCAAACTCCATCGACACTTGGCCAGGGCGGCGAAGCGGTGACATGATCGTCATTGCCTCCATTCTCTCCTCCCTGGCTGGCCTCCTGCTCCTGGCCTTTCTGGCAGCCTCCACTGTGCGCTTGTGAGTGTCAACATCCCCCTGGGCCCCTGAGTATCTCTTACCTGGGAGGTGGTCCGGCAGGCTCAGGGAAGGAACACCATGCTCTGCCCCATCCTTCAGGGAGTCTGGCCTAGGCCTTTCTCTCCCTGGGCCTTGTCTTCTCTCCAAAATGCCCTCTGTCATTTCAGAGAATGGACACCGCGGCAGTCAGGGCAGCCACCTGGAGAAGGCGGGCCTCCAGCTGGTTCTAGAAGGGGGGGAATGGGAAATCGGGGGAAAGGAAGATATGGGAGGGCAAGAAGGCCCTGGCTTGGCAGCCTCCTCTTCTCCCCGTCCAGCTCAAGCCTGTGGTGGCCTGAGGAGGTCCCCGAGCAGCTTCGGATTGGCTCCTTCATGGGGAAGCGCTACATGACCCACCACATCCCACCCAGTGAGGCCGCCACTCTGCCTGTGGGCTACGAGCCTGGCCTGGACTCCCTCCCCAGCCTCGGTCCCTAGCCTGGTCTACCGGACTGGGACTGGGGCAGTAGGTTGTGGGGGGTGAGGGGAGGGGTAAGCCCCTGCACCCCCACACCCCTCCCCAATGCCCCTAGCGGCCTGGCCTTGGGTTTTCCCACTCCCACCCTCTCCAGGCAACTGAAGTTGGATTCTGGAGAGTCTGGGGGAGGGCTGTGGTCAGGCTTGTTTTCCTCCCCAACCTCTGCCCCTGATGCTGTTTTGTCTGGCTTCCTGCAAGCAAAACTGGAGGCATGTGGAGATGCCCCCCTAATTGAAGTTTCCAGGTCCCAGTTCAAGGCCTGCAGGGGATCTTGCCTCTGCTGTGTGCCAGGGGACTGGGATGGATCCTGGGGGTGTATGAGACCTGAGCCTCCCTGTCCCATCTTCCGGTGTCAGAGGCACCTCCACTGTCCATGGGCACTGGCTGTCTTTGAGCCTCTGGCCACCATTTTCCACCCCCATGCGCATACACATGGCTCACTCACTTCTTCTCTCACACACATTTATTGAGCACCAGCTGTGTGCCGCACCTTGTTAGAAAAGAGGCCTCTGGCAGAGTCCTCGGGAATCTCACAGCCCTGGACCTCAGATGAGCACCTATCCAGATGTGACCTGTGACTACGGGGGGCTATCACACCCTCCGATTGTCACATGTCCTCAGTCTTACACTCAGTCACCCCAATGGGCACTCTGGAATCCTGGAGCCCCCCCTTCACCAGGGCAGATATGCTTCAGACTACCCTTCCCCAGAGTCGGAGCCCCCAAAGCCGGTAGTTCCCATTTTGGCCACATGGGGGTGCTGGGGCGCTGCAGCCACATGACCCATGCACGTGGGCTCCTCTTCACAGACCAGAAGGTCGCTGTTGGTGTGAACTCCCACTGGGTGATAACCTGATGCCCAGGGGCTTTCCCTACTCAACGGGGTCTCGAGCTCAGGGCCCCGGCCTCGCCTTGGTCAAGACAGAGACTGGGGCTGTCACATCTCCCACTTGAGCCCTACCGTGTGCCGTCTAATCTGCACAGCTGCCGTCTTTTCTACATGGGAAAACAGAGGCTTGGTGACCAGTGCTTCAATCTTTGTCCGCTGCTGCCCCAGCACTGGCCTACTAAGGACCCTGCAACCTTTACACGGCCGCCACCCTCTCTGGAAGTGAATAAATGGGATCTGACTCCTTTCGCAGATTGGTGCCCAGGATGTTTCTGGGAGAGGAGCTTTTTACATGCAGGTTCAGCCCCAGGGCTGCACTGAGCCTGTTGATTGCTAGCCCTAATTGTCCTTTGAGGGTGCCCCATCTCCTGATGGGCCTCAGAGAAGCCCACCTGGTATTGCAGGGCTAGGAAGCCCCCCAGTAACTCTGCTTATGTGGATTTAGCAGCCTCCTTTCCAAACACTTCAGAGGAGTCTTTACTTTCAGAATTCATGAACCACTGGTCACTGGTGGTCACTCCCCAACCCTGCCAGCACCCCTGCCCACCACAGAACCCCTCTAGATGTGGACAGAAGCAGATTCAAATGCAGCCAGGAGCTCAGCCTCTGGCGTCCCGGGTGACCCCTGGTAGTAGGAGCCAGCCCTTTTGGGCAATTCTTTTGAAATGCTGCTGTGGAGCCCAAGTCCCTCTTGGTCACTTGGGATTGAATGGGAGCTAAAAGTGCCACCGCCCTCACCACCACCACGTCACAGAGACCCCCACATAGCCCTCTGCCTACTGTCCTGTCCAGACCCGGCTCCAATGCTGGACCCAAGGGCCTCAAGGTCTGCAAGGCCTGGCTTGGGGTCTGCCCTGGGAGGTGTACGGTGGGAGGAAGAGGGCTCCACTGGGGTTTGCTGAGTGAAAACATGAACAAACCCATGAAGGGTCAGAGGACCAGCCAAGAGCAGGAATTGCCCCAGGCTTTTGTGTGTCCTGGAGCCCGTACAGCTGTTTCTTGGTGCCGGAATCTGTTAACTGAGGCACAGCTCCAGCGATAACCTGCATTCCATGACTGCCCCTCTTCTGAACAGTCCCCCCAAGCCCTCTGAGGAGCTGCTCTCACCCCACCGCTGCCGGGATTGGCCACTGAGTCGGAACGAGCAGACACTGCTGGTGGTGGATGAAGGCTGTGAAGCCCAGCGCCAGCTGGCTAGTCCACAGGAGGCAGCGACCCCGCCTGAGGGCTGATGGGGGTGTCATAGGAGTGGTTTCTGAACTGAGTCTTGAGGGGCAAATGTCAGCCAGATAGAGGAGGAAAGAAAGGAAGGAGGAGAGGGTGGCTTGGGGACACAAGTGTAAACAGTCTTGTCCTGCAGTGGCACCGGGAGGGGTGGCAGCAGGGACTGGGGACAGGGAGGCTGGTGTGCTCTTCCAGGCTGATGGAACAGGGAAGAGAGTTGGAAAGGGTCAAGGTGGGCTCCAGAATACTCAGGAGGTAACTGGGGAAACTGGGATTTCTTAGATATGGGTAACGAACCAGGAGACCAAACCCCAGTTTCTGACTTGAGGTTGGGAGGGCATGAAAAACGGGGTGCTTTTTGTTCCAAACTACTTCCCCACCTGACTTTAGAGCAGATCCTCACATTTCAGGTTCTGGGGGCATCATCTTAGGGGCTAGTGAGTGCCTGAGGACATTAACAAAGATGGAAGTCTGTGCTGGCCAGGGGAGGCCGGCCTGTGTGCTCGCGGAGGGCGAGTGCCTGTTCTGGGCAGCCGAGGTGTCTCAGGATGCGTGTGGAGAAGGCGCAGCAAGGCCATCCTCCTCTGGGCGTTCAGCTCCAGAGTCAAGCTGGGGAGGGTCACCAGCTGCGAGAGCCGCTGTGAGAGCCAAACTGTGGAGAATCTTAAATCAGCTTTTGCATTTTCCCTGGGACTGTAGTTGGGAAAGTGCCTCACACAAAAGTCATTGGCCCTTAACTTAATTGCTCAGTGATTAAAAACAAGCCCATTGTTAAAAGGATAAACAGCAAGACTGGGGTGGGGGGGCGGTAATGACTCGCAGATGATTCATCAAAGGAATCAGGATGCAGCAGGTGGGGACCAGCCTCTCCCTCTGGGCTCTCTTTGTCCCTTGCTACCTCAGAGTCCTCCATTTCTCTCCATCCTCTCTCCGTCGTCCCTCTGGTCAGGCCAGCCGCCTTGGTCTCTTGCTGTCAGTAACTTCCCCTTGCTGGTCTACCCACACCTATATTCCTGACCCCACCCCTGTTCTTTTCCCAGCATCCTGAGGGGCATGGTGGTGTCATCCACCCTTGCTCACAACCTTCGGAGACTTCGCGCTGCGAGGACAGACTCCACATTCATCACCTCCATCACAGGCCTGATCCATTCCCAGTTCTCTGCCTTCCAAGGGCCACCAAGGCCCTCAGCTAATCCCCCACCTCCACCACAGGGCCTTTGCACTTGCTTTCCCCCAATTTGGAACATTTCTTCATTTCCCTCCCCTTCCTCTAGATCCCTCAGCTCCAGTGTAGCTTTTTCAAGGGAAGTTCTTCCTGACTCCTGTACTTTTCCTTCGTGGTGTATCTTCCATTTTGTAAGTAGACATTTAAAATTGTGAACATTTGCATCTCCCCTACTAAATAACAGAGGGATTACAGAGATCATGTCTGGTTTGCTCCCAGGGTGCCCCCAGAGCCAGCACAGTGCCGGCCCCTAGTAGGTTTTGAACAATTATTTGTTGGTAGAATGTGTTATAAAAGGCAAATATGTTTTTACACTTAAAAAATATATATATATCAGCTTCATTGAAATCTAACTCAAATACCATCCATATGCCTACTTAAAATGTGTGGTTCAGTAACACTTAGTAGGGCCCCAGCGTCGTGCAGTTACCGCCACTATCCCTTCCACAGCACTTAAACAACTCTGAAGGAACCCACAGGCCAGAGACTGTGACACATCTGACAGTCACTCCACAGCCTCCCGAGTCCTGGCGACCACTCCCCCCTCGCTGGACATGTCACAATAGTCAGGCCTTTGTTCTTGGCTGGTTTCACTGAGCATAAGTTTGGGGAAAAGAAAACAGAAGCCCTGGCATTGCTGTTGTGGGCTGTCCCTTGCTGCTCGTCTTGCTTGGCTGAGCCATTTTTTTCTGACTGGGTAGCACTGTCCAGTCTGGTAGAAGAAGGGTGTCTTTCAACCACCCTGGACAACCATCAAGGAAGCTCTATCCTGGGCCTCCCCGGTGGCGCAGTGGTTGAGCGCTGGGTTGCGAAGCTGCCCGCGGCCTCTGCGGCACCGGTTCGATCCCCGGCTGCTCCCCGGCCACCGGAGGAGGGTCCCACATGGCGCGCAGACCTCTCCTGCCGCCCGCTGCTCCCCTCAGCAGTGTACTTCGGTCCTTCTGCCTGTTCTGCTCCCTGTTCTGGCTCTGGTGAATTCTCTCACCCTCCCGCGCTTCTGACTGTACCCAGTGCATGTATAAACAAACAAACAAACTAACTAAATAAATAAAAAAAAAACATGCCTCTAAAAAAAAAAAAAGGAAGCTCTATCCTCACAGGGGCCCAGGATCCTACCTTAATGTGTTCTTAGCCAAAAATACCAGGAACCAGCCTTAGCTAACTAGGTGGGAAAGCAACACATGAGAGATTGGGGCGCTCCCAGAAGCTCTGAGAGCTGGGGCTGGAGCCCACATCAGGAAACCTTGTGCAGAGCAGAGCTTCGCAGGAGCTTTTGACCAGGTCACTCCTGGAAGCTGGGCATGGTGGCTGCTGCCCTGGCCCAAATGGGCTGGCTAGGCCCACGGCCTTGTGCATTCCCAGCTGGCACCCTGGCTGCCCTGGGGCAGGAAGGCCAAGACTGTGTGGCCCCAAGGCCTCCACCTTAGGTGGGCTGAGCACCTTGGGTTTGGTACTTGGGTTTGGTGAGGGGCTGAGCTTCCCCGGAGAAGGGAGAAGACATCAAGTGATTAGTGCTGGCTTTGTGGATGCATGTTGCAGGAAAGTGATGTCCCAGAGGGGGTTGTAGGAACTGTGTGGTCAGGAAGAAGGCAACCATCTCTCTTTCTCTCCCAGGAAATCCAGGCCCCAGGTCCTGGGGGAGCCTGAGGTAGTCAGGCTTGGCTTCAGGTTCACAGTATCCACGTTCAGTCAGGTTCTAATCCCCTGTGTCTCAGAACGTGACTGCATCTGTGGTGAGGGCCTTTAAAGATTAAGTTAAATTGAGGCCTTCAGGGTGAACCCTAATCCACTCTTATTGGTGTTCTTATAAGTAGAGATTAGGACATAGAGGCACCCAGGGATGCACAGACAGATGTATGGGGCAGATGTACAGATAAATGACCCTGTGAAAAGGCGGTAAGAGGGTGGCTGTCTGCAAGCCAAGAAGAGAGGCCTCAAGGGAAAACCATATGCCGATGACTCGATCTTGGACTTGCGGCCTCCAGACTGTGAAAGCCAAATGTCTGTTGTTGAAGTCACCCAGTCAGGGGCATCTTGTTATGATGCCTGTGCAGACTGGTCCGCCCACCACTACAGCATCTTGGGTACAGCACGAGCAGTAACAGAAGTGTGTCCAGAGGGCAGGTGCCATCATCCCACTGACCTTCAGTGGAAGCTGACAGGAAAGCAGCAGGCTTGGCTGAGGCTTGGTGGTAGGGAAAGGCTGGTGTGACATGCCTGCCCACTGAGGCCTTCAGAGGGGCTGGGCCGGGAGGTGAGTGCTTAGGTCACTTGCTCATACTGGCCTCTTGACCAAACTTTCTATCCCTGTAGCTAGAGAAACTGGAAGAAGACACTGCAGCCCGCCCTGCCCTCACCATCACACCCCCACCCCCACTCCCCACTCCCCTGCCCCACCCCAGTCCCAGCCGCATGTGCCTGACTCCTGGGAACAGAGCCCCGGGAGCAAGACAGGGCTTTATGCCTCAAAGGCTGGGTAAGCCCCACAAGGCCGCTCTGCCCATCTTCCTGGG